ATCCTCGAGACAGAGACCGAATGAGTTAGATGTGAGGAGTGTGGGAAGTTAGTTAAGAAATTAGGTGAGGAAAGCGGTGTGTGTGGGAAGTGTGAGGAGAAGTTTGTTTAATGAATTTTTTTTTGTGGCGAAATAATTTTCGACGAAATGAACTTTTGACGAAACAAATTTTCGACAAAATGAACATTCGACGAAATGAACTTTCGATGAAACAAACTTTCGACGAAATGGGTGTCGACGAAATGACTGTCGACGAAATGATTATCGACGAAATGAATCAAACCCATATTCTTCATATAGAGTCATTCTACCGTTGTTATTCTTTCAATATCGCTACCATCACTGTCGCCACTACACTTTTATGATGATCTGAAGTGGTAGATTTATGAAAAATTACTTTCTAAAAGATTTAAGGTTTTAAAGCATTGGACGTTTTTTGTTATATTTATTTAACTAGAAGGACGACAATGATCGCAACCACATTATTTTTAAATTTCCCTCTTCTGACAATACTTACTCATTTGCTCTTTTTCCGATGTATGTTTGCTTTTCTTTAACACTTGACAAATTTGTTTAAAAAAAATTATTTGTAGATCAAAAAATTTTTTTTTTATAAAAATAAAATAGGAAATGACAAATCTATTGAAATATCAAATACTTCCAATAATTACTAAATTGTCATTTCCATATAGAAATGTGTATTTATTGTTTTACATATCTTCATTCATTCATTCGTTTATATACAAGGATTATAGTTTATGGAAGATATTAATAAATAATATATCAATTTACAATTCATTAGAAATAATCTTTGGACAACATCAATAAATTTGCAAAATAATCATAGTGAAAATAACAATAACAATGAAAATAATGAAAAACAACCAGATCCAATGCTTTATGGTAAATATGTTAATGGATAATAAATTATTATTATTATTGGATTTTTTTCTCTTACACTTTATCAATCAATATTAGAACCTGAAAAAATTCCACCTACAGACAATATAGCTGTTTGTCAATTGCACTTACGCGCCTATGTAGTAGGTCCAATGGATTTTTTTATAGATTTTGCCAGACGTGCAGCTCACGCATTAAAAATGCCATGCTCGGGTCCTGTCTATCTACCCACTCAAACAACTCGTTGGACTGTACCGCGTGGTTCTTTTATCCATAAAAAATCTCAAGAAAACTTTGAACGTAAAACCCATAAAAGATTGTTAGAAATAAAGGATGCAAATAAAGATGTTGTTAAAAGATGGCTATGGTATTTAGCCAATAATTGTCCTCCTGGTATTGGTATGAGAGTTACACTTTGGGAATGGGAAGAATTAGATTTCTCAAAAAAGAAAAATAAATTTCAAGAAAAAATTGATGTTTGAAATCATTTGTTATTAAAATTAATTATTAAATAAATAATTTTTAAAATAAATAAAATTGAAAGAAAATTAATATTAGGGGTGTGTATTATTATTATTTAACTCTTTTATCAAACATAACTTTATTTCTTTTCATTCCCCATTTATATTGACATGTAAAACTTGCTTTTTCGAACTATAATAAATACTTATTGTGTATGAATTTGATTTATTTATTTTTGCTTCCTATGTTGTAAAATAAACATAATCATTTGTATGAGAACTTTATCTTCCTCTCAGACCAGGCTTGCTGGTTACCATATGGGCATTGATCACTGATAGCTGGTGCTTGCATGATGATTGCTTTGCGTTATAGAAAAAGTTTGTGCCTGAAACTGGTTCAAAATTCTCCAACCCAGGATGTTGTAACCTGGGAAGTTGTTGTTTTGGATTTTCCCTGAATTCAGAGTTTTGAGTCCTGGGTTGCTGCCTTGTTGGTGCATGCCTAATCACCAACAACCCTGCCCTGTTTATTTAAATAACAAGTTCAGTTGGTCAAATAAAAATTAAAGAGAAACAGAAAATTTATGAAAATGATTAATTTATAACATACCAAACAAAATCTGAATTACTTTATTTTACAGTTTTCTCCTTGATGCCAGTGATCATGGTGACTACCACAACAGGAGTGGGCAGAATTGAACTGCCACCTTTATACCTGTAAGATACATGCTCTCATTGAGCTACATTCCTCTAACCTAGGTGGGTTATATAGGCAAAGCCCCATTTAAAAAATATCAAATAAAATAAAAATTTGGAAATGATTAATTTATAACATATCAAACAAAATCCGAATCATTTTATTTTACAGCTTTCCTAACATCAGAGCCCAAATGCAATTTCAGGGCCACCAATCCCACTCTGAATTGCAACCTCCTGTGCTTGAAACGAGTTGCAGATTCTCATTTCTTTGATGGATCTGGATGTTTATGCGCACCTAATATCACAACTTTTCAAAGTTTCTCAATCACAGAGCCAGCCTTACCCTAGAGGTAGGATCGTTGCAGGTAACTTTTCGGCTAGCATGCCAGCAGCCTTCTCTGGTCTGGATGCCGTGAGGGAAGATTAGTGAAAAGTGACCTTGCAGTCTCAGTAAACTCCAGGGCTATGTGTCTCCCCCTGGAATTCAGTTGCATCATTGTATCCATAGGGCGAAGCTGGTCAGATTAGCCTTGTGTGCACGAGGAGCATAAGAATGACTGTAAGTGTTCAAGTAGCGTGTGTGCTTCAACGTCTGTCAATTTCCGATAATCATACTCGAATTGTTTCAGTTGTGCTGCTTTGACACCTTGTAATTATATATTTATATTAATAATAATATGATTATACAAAGCAAAATACCAATTGTTCATTCATCATCTTGATGATAATCTTATTACCCAGCAATGATCTGTTCCACGTTTTGATTCCAATTATAATATTTATAATAACCAAAAAAGACAATGCAAATTAAAAAAAAGTACCTCTGGTTAGTTATTAACACATCTTTAGGAGAACCGCGTTTCGTCATCTTGACAAAATAAGATTGTTTTCAATCAATCGCGTCAACAAGAAAAAAACCATACATAAATAATTAATGTGCACGTGTTTGTCGATCAAATATATAACATTTACAAATTTACCATTTCACAAGAATATTCTAGATTACAATTTTGTGTAATCGATTCAATTTTAAAAAATTTTTTTTTGATAATAATAAGTCTCAAAGATGGTAAGTAATAGTAATGGACTAGTAATGATTTAATATTATATAATTATTTAACGAAAATAATATTTACAATTTGTTTTTTCTAGCCAAAACAAATTGCTGATATTAAATATTTTCTTGAGATTGCACGTAGAAAAGATGCAAAATGTAATTATATATTTATCGATAGTTTTTTTTTTTTATTTCTATTAATTAACACATGCTATATATACACACACATATATATCAAAGCTGTTCGTATTAAGAAAAATGGTGTATCAAAGGTGAAATTTAAGCTTAGATGTTCAAGATATTTGTACACTTTTGTAATTGAAGATGCAGAGAAAGCAGAAAAATTACAAAAATCTCTTCCGCCTGGTAAAAATTTTATTCGCATATTTTCTATTTAGAAATAAATTATTGAAGTTTTATTAATTATTTTAATTATTATTATTTCTTTCGATATACCCTATATAAAATCAAATAGGATTGGCGGTCAGTGATATTAATACAAGCAAGAAAAAGAAAAGAGAATAACTTTATTTTTAATTAATCTCATCATCATTAGCAGAATAAAAATAATATTAATTTAAAAGAATGGAGAAACCATTTTCTTGTGATTTTAATATATCATCTTTTTATTAATAACTATTTACAAAAAGCATTTTTAAATGCTTATTTAATTTATTTTATATAATTTACAAATATTGATCATGGTTTTACAATAATAGATTTCCAATTACCATTTTTTAAAATTTATAAATTAAGTTCTTGCGTTGATCTCTGATAAAAAACAGAAACAAAAATTTAAGTTCATCACTAAATTAAGTGCTCCAACATATCAAATTGTGTTGATACAAAAAAGGATTTTGCTGCTTCACGAAAACAATAAGTGATAATCCCTATTACTATCTACAAAAATGTTTTTTAATAGAACTCATTTTTATTATGTAAATGGGGTCTGAAATTTTCACCTTATGATATAGATTTTTGTATTATGCAAAAAACACAATTTTGGCCAGAGATCTATAACCATATTTTGCTGGAAAACCCATGATTATAATTACCAAAACTAATATTTAATATTCAATGTTCAATTAAATGTTCACATTCATTAAATATATTTTTTGGGAAACATGAGATAGTTTTATCTCAAAATGATTTTTATATCTTTCCATTTGCAAATATTAAATATAATTGTGAAGGACGCCTTGGGTTCTGGTTTAGTTAGCAATGATATTTGAAGTAATATAAACGCCAATTTTGAAGCCATGATAACGTGACAATTAACAAAATGAATTGTAGAGAAAATAATCCTATGTTAACGAAGCCGTTATTGATATTATTCATTGGTACACATATATTAAGATTAGGTGTAATTCGTAATAATGTTACATAAAAACAACATGTAACTTATAAAAACACTATTGTTTTAACCTTTTAAACAAATAGTATACAGTATCTTTATATAATAAAATTTTTTATTTATCTTTAAAATTCTTTATATATAACTCCATAAAAAAACCCAATTGCTTTATGTTTAACTTTGAACAAAATAATTAGTAAAAAAAAATAATAATAATATTAAAACAATAATTCAACAAAATAACAAATAGTAGATGATACTAGTTTACCTTTCTTTAGTTTTAACAACTTAATTTCCAAGATAAATATTATTTACACAATAATTAAGCCAATATTAATAGTATAGTAACTTCAAAGATACAGCTGTAAAACAATATATATATATATCACAATATGTATAGGTACACAGGTGTAATACGAAATTTAAATTTGTTGGAGATATTGTATAACTGGCAAATGATAAAAATAATAATATATTGAATAATTAATATATATATTGCTGAACTGTGGATAATAGTTCTGTTGAAATTAAAAAATCGAATCTTTGATACTGAAAAATAGAAGAAAATGTTGTCAATGATGCTTTTTTATTGTTGTGGGTTGGATAAAGCTGCAGTTTTGATGTACAAGTAGCAGTTGTAAAAAAAAAATTATTTTTTTTGCTGACCATTTTGTTGGTTCTTTTTTTTTTTTTTTGAAGCAAAAGGTGAAAAATGCTGAATAGGTGTAAAGTTCATAATAATTTGTTGCCTACAACAACTTTAAAAAATAATATTTTAAAAAAATTATATTCCAAATTAACTAATAAAATAATTATCGGATAGATAAAAATATACTGTGATTATATTAAAAAAAAATAAAAAAATTTCCAATTTTTCATAATATTCAATGGGAAAAATGGAATAATCCTGCTAGTATGGTGAACGAGGTCTTTGATAAGGGTCATATCTTGCAGGGGGTTGTGGTCGTCGATCTCGATCATATCCTCTTTCATAGGCTCTATCATAATTTCTTTCGTATCCTCCTCCTCTTTCATAACCTCTATCATAGTAAGACCTATCATATCCACGATCATAATAGGGTTCACGCCCATAATTCCTTGGTGGCCTATCATATCTATCATAAGATCTAGTATAATCATATCTTGGATCAAATCTATCAACCCGGCGTGGTTCTTTGAATGAAAAATGGCAATAACAATTATTTTAAATTTTATGATGATATAAAAACTTAATTTTTATAAACTATACTATACCTCGACGTTTAGGTGGTCCATAATAACGACCAGGTGTTGGAGTTCTAGGTCTAGATCGACGAGCCTAATTAAAAAAGATAAATAAATAAAATAAGATCTTTATATTATTTAATATTATTTTTATTAGATTTCATTGATCGATTTTCTTACCTTTTCTACTGTTATAACTCTACCTTGAAATTCTCTACCATTAACGGCTTCTTTTGCTGAATCAGCTTCTTCAGATGTCTCCATTGCAACAAAACCGAATCCACGTGATTCTCTAGTATGAGGATCATACATAATTTGAGTTTTTATTACCTTATGAATTAAATAAATATGTTTTAAAAATATTTTAATATAAATTCATTCGCCATATAATCATTAATCGCCAAGTGTATATATATATACCTTTCCATATTTTGAGAAAAATTCATCCAAGTCACGATCACTAGTTCTTACAGATAAACCAGTAACAAATAAACTATTACCAGAATTAGTTTCTTCATCCCTACTATCAACAAAAACATTGATTTTTAACTTTTATAACAAATAATGTAAATAAATAAATTAAAAATAAATAATGTAAATATAAACATAAATGTAAATATGTAAATATAAATATATAAATATAAAAGAAATATATTGTTGTTTAAAAATCCTTCTTGTTTATTAAATGCATCATAAAAAAGTCAAGATACAACATATTATATGATCTTTGTACTATCAATTATAGATGAGATTTTTTAAATAAACGAAAAAATTTCTCGTGATAGTTGTGGTTCGGATAACAGAAATTTAAAATATTTTTTATTTAAATTGAAACAGGTTATCCTATAAATAAGTGCGCATATAGATGAGTAAAACATTAATATTAATATTAGTAGATGTATTACTGATGTTACTACTCACATTTTTTCATTGACCTTTCTAATAAATGATTTCATGTTATACTCAAAATCATAGCTCAACATATTTTCAATTTGATATAATTCTTTCAATACAACAACACCATCCTCAAGATTATTAATATTTGATGAACGGTTTATAATTTTTCCAATATCACCATGTTCAATCTAAAGTTGGGAGCCGCAATTAGCTGCAATTCAATTTTCATATGCCGCAATGCCGCAATTAGTTGCAACTAATTGAGGAGCCATCTTTAATGATATCCAAATCTAATTTGAATTTTTTGTTAAAGATTTTAAATGCCCAAATTTATACTGTCTCTCTTCCAAGTTCACAATTCCAATTTTTATTAAATCGCTTTAAACAGTACCATATTATCAAAAACTCTTGAATGCAAACATTTTCATAAATCAAAATTAAAAGCACACATACTCCTTTCTCGCAGCTTCAAATGTTGGTTTAGTAACATTTTATTTTCATCCTTAATTCGTGCTCCGTGAGACAACTGCAAAATTTTGCCGATCGTTAGTATAATTTTGTGGCGATAATATAATAATAATTTTTAGAATTTTTGGAATATGACCGTCCCTCACGTGATTAAGCATGATTACGCGCGACATAAAAATTTAAAA